ATGTAGCATAATGAAGAGAGCATTGGATTTGGCATCATGATGCCTGGATTCCAGTCCTGCTGCTTAGTAGCTTCGTAATGTGGGACAAGCCATTTTTCAACCTCTCTGAGGCTCAGTTTCCTTATCTGTAAAATAGAAATCATTTTATTCTCTACCTCAGAAGGATAGTGTGAGAAAAGCATTCTATAACCTAGGCAACATCGTAGAAATGTGCGTTACTGTTAGTAAAGTCCCCAGAGTACTTTGTGGTCTTAGTTCTCCTCATATTCCTGATAGGTTAGAGTGGGTCGATATCAACCTCGAGAAGATCCAGAGAAGTCCCACAACACATTGGGTAGACCCCTTGTAAGGGAAATTGACCAGTGTTCACAGGGAAGAGTCTCTCAGGATGAGATGGCATGGATGAGCTAGGGGGGAAGGGGATACTCATTGAGCTCAGACCACACCCATCAAAATTGAAGTATTTGTGCCTTTTCCTAAACATACCCAATCCCATGTAATCATCAGGCCTTGGGACACTAACCTGGTCCCTGATGTAGTCATCTGACCCTTTGACAAGTCCCTTCCACTCTCTAGGCCTAAATTTCCCTATCTCTGAAACTCATTTGAGCTGGGGGTTGGTCTTAGACCCTGCCATCCTCGTTATTCTGAGCATTTAGGGAAGGAGCTGTGGTGCAGCAGGAAGAGTGCTGAGTTAGGGGATCTGACGACCTGAAGCCTCAGCCCCAGCTCTTGGCTAGTTTTATGGTTTGGATCAAATCACTGAACTTATTGGGGTCTCAGTTTCCTAACCTGTAAAATGAGGACAGTACTTCTCTGATAACCTTATGTTGTTTGGTCATTCCAGTCATGTCCAAATCTTCGTGACTCCTTTTTTGGTTTTCTTGGCAAAGACACTGGAGTGGTTTGCCATTTTCTTCTCCAGCTCATTCCAGATAAGGAAACTGAGACAGACAGGGTTACATGACTTGCTGGGGTCACAGAGCTAGTAAATGTCTGAGGCCAGATTTGAACTCAGGAAGATGAGTCTTCCTGACTTTCGGCCTGGCACTCTATCCACTGTGCCACCAGGCTGCCCTGACTTAGCTGCCCCTGATGGCCTCAGTGGCCTCATAGGGTTGTACTAAGGATTCAATGAGGGAACCCACGTAATGTAGTAAGAAACATCAATTCCAACTAGGGTTATGATTCTAAGTGAACCTTGTGTTCACGAGGTCAGACCCTTGTGCATCACAACCTGAAGCTAACTGCTGAACTACATGGGGAAAAAGGCCAGAAATTTTGCCTACCGTTCATAGTTTGAGCTAACTTAAATCAGGTGGGTGACATTGATTGTCTTAACTTCTTTCATGTGACAAAGAGGCACCACAAAACAGAGTCAGTGCAGAGATTTTTTCCTGCATTGCCATTAGCAGTGTAGGATCATAGTTTTGGAGCTGAAAAGGATCTCAGAATCTACTTGCCTATTCCTGTGGCATCTGTGCTCTTTCAAAAGCAAACAAGGCTGCTTGGTGCCACTTAGGCACCCTGCAGACCATGCCCTTCATATGCCCCTCTAATATGCCCATCATCCTGTTGGGAGGACCTTAAGACCATCTTTGAAAGGAGAGAGTCCAGTGAGGAACACTGAACAGTGGGAAAGGGCTAGAGACATTCCAAGCCCCACTAAACAGAGCTCAGGTATTAGATTTTTAGGGTCTAGGGGTCTACAGAGGTTGGCAGTCCCTCTTTTCAAATGGAAGAGACCCCAGGGGCAATGGGAGTAGTAATTTCTTTGACTTCCCCTAGGAATTCTGTTAATTGTACAAGAATATAGGGTTCTTAGGGGTAGAGGTTATTGAATTTCACTTTTCTGCTCTTGCTAAGTATCTCAGGAAGTAGGGAATGAATAGCATAAGGAGTAGCTTAAATTTACCTTGCACTTTACTGATAATATATTTGATCCTCACAGTGCCCCCCAGTGAAGCAAATAATACAAGTATTAAGAACCCCATTTTACACCTGAGAAAACTCATATGGGGGAAGGGGGTTGGGAGGGGTGGAAGTGAACAGTGGGAATGGCTTGTTGAGCAGGATTGGAAAGTAGCAGGACAGTAAAAACAAGCAGAGCAGAGCAGGCCTTCCTGGCTCCTAATTCCAACTGTCCTTGTAAACTTAAGCTAGTAATTTCCCAAACTCCCCTTTCAGCTCTCAAATGTCAGAACTAGACCTTGGCCCAGGCTTCATGGTTTTTACCACTCATTACCTCACATTATTTTAAATGAATAAGAGTTTTCAAAAGTAGAATAAACCTTGACTTAGGTAGCTCCAGCTTTGTTTTTCTGTAGGCCAGAGGGTACCATCACCAAATCCAAATTAGTGTAATTTGAGTTATACCTCAATTAAAGAACTAGCCCTCTAGTCAGAAAAACCTGAGTTTTCTAGTCCAGCTTCTACCACATACCAGCTGTGTAACCCAGAGCAAATCACTTAACCTCTCAGTGCCCCTGCAAGCTCTGATAATCTTCATGATTGAGGATGTTCTCCTTGTGACCAGTCGTTTATTTTTTCTTGTGCCCAGTTTAAAAAAAAAATCAAAGTTAATATGTTGAGCCTAGAATTTGAATAGTAAAATGATGGTCTAAGCCATGAGATCATTTAATCCCCAAAAAGAAAGAACTGCCTGCAGGAGATTTAGGAGAAGATAAGACTTCTGTTTTTAAGTCATGAAGAAGGAAGAGCATAGATGACTAAAGAATAGAAGTTATAAAGGAGAGAAAAGAATTTCAGGCCAGTTTGAGGAAAATCTTCCAATTAGGACTGTCCAGGAATGAGAGGCCCTTGTTTATGGGACCAGTTCCTCCTTAGTAGAGGTTTTCAAGCAGAGGCCAGCCTGATGACAGCTCATCAGGGTTATTGCAGAGGTGGGATCCTGCTTTAGCTGGCGCTTAGGTTATGTGATCTGAGAGATCTTTGAAAAAGCTGTGGGATCCTAAAAGATTGTTTGCAAAGCCAAATTGTGGAAGAAAAGATCCAGTCAATTGTCATTTAGTGAATGTTGTTAGAGATGGGTCAGGGAGAGACCCAGCCTGGCCTCTAGCCTTTTGGATCTTAGAAGCCTAAAGGCATTGACCTTATTTCCCACACAACTTTGTCCAAGCCTTTATTCTTAATAGCTAATGTGATCTGTGGCAGTTCCAGTATAAAGGAATGTGCCCCTGAGGAAGAGGAACATTGGGCTAGGTATGGATTCTAAGGAAAGAGATGGGCTGTCCCAGGGTGGCGAACTCATTACCAGAAAGAAGTGTTTAAGCTGGGAATGAGTGGCCACTTGTGAGGATGCTGTTGAGGAGATTTCATCCTTGTGATGGAGGCTGGGGCTCTATGAACACCTTTGAAAGTCATGTGCTAACCTCTTCCTAGCTTGGACTTAGAGTTTTTCCACTTCATCTAATTTACCATAGTCTCTCTCTCCCCCCTTCCCCAACCACCTCCCTCCCCGCCCCAACACACACACACACACACACACACACACTCTCTCTCTCTCTCTCTCTCTCTCTCTCTCTCTCTCTCTCTCTCTCTCTCTCTCTCTCTCCATACATACATACATATATACCTCTCCCCCCCACCCCCACCCTACCTCCAGACTTGGATGGGCACTGCACCACCCCAGAGACCATTCTGCAAATCCCAACCCCAGTAGCAGTCTGCTGTGAACTTTCTGCCTCTGCTTGAGCATGTCCCTTGCTCGGGCACATGTTCCCCCAGCTGATCCCAGGCACTGATGAGAGCTCTCCCGGGCATGTCACATGGAGTTAACAGCAGAATAGGTTTACATGATGCTGCAGATGTTTGCCAGAGTTCTGCTATCTAACATGCAGAGACCACCTTGCCAAATTCATTTCCTAGGCTTACTGAGTTATTTATGTTTATTGCCAGAAGATGATAGAAATAGTTGATCTTGCTGAATGAAAGAGCTGAAATAAAGGCAGCCAGTAGCCGGTAGCCAGCAGTGCAAACACTTACCCCATGTTCTTCCTGGGCCTCCATAATAGATGTTCCCTTAGATTATTCTCTTTGTCCCACTCTCTCCCTTTGCCTTTTGAGAAAAGGATACTGTCACCACAAGTAGCCCAACCTGTTTCCATTTCATCACTTAATCAGAAATTGATGTGCTCATAACTAAAAAGCTACCCCCTTGGGAATCAGCAGGGCATGATAACAGAGTCTTGGGAAGGGAGGAAGCAGCCCTGGACCCTAGTGTTAGCTCTGTCACTCAGTCTAGTGGAGTGGACAATATGCTAGAAACCCAGGCTTGAATCTCCACTCTGCTACCTGACTGATCACCTGTGTAATCAGAGACAAGTCCCTTCCCTTCTCTGGCCCTTATTTTTGAATTAGATGGTGTCTGAAGGCTCCTGTAGCTCTGACTCTAATAATCCCCAAGTCACTTGATCTGTTTAAAAAGAAGATACTTTCCAATTGTCTGACATGGCGTTATACATTCAGTAAATTCCTTTGGATTGCTGCTTCTGCACACATATGCCTTTGCCTTCTCCCACACATATGAAGAGCTGTAGCAGTACCTTTATGGTAATATATAAAATGCTTTATAAAACTGAAAGCATTATAGGATTGAAATTTTTGTTATGATTATCTTGTCACATTATCCAATTTGATTTTTGCAACAGCCATGTTGAAATTGTACCAGAAATCATCTCTACATGTGGTTCAGAGAGGCTGAGGCCACCCCAGTTCTCTAGGCCTCAGTCTTCTCATCTACCAAATTAAGGAGGTGGCTAGATAACCTCCAAGGTCCTTTCCAAATCCAGTGGATTCTGAGAAGTCATCATGAGTGGCTTAGAAATAGGATTCAAGCCCAGATCTTGTGGTTCTTCAAGCCCAGTGCTCCTTCCATTGTTGCATACTGCCTCTATAAGTTCCTCACGTTGTCATCAGCCACAGTGGAAAATGCATCCAAACCTACTTAACTTGGTTTCTCCTTTATTGGTGTCTTTCAGGTTGACTTCGCAGGGACCCACAATCTCTTCAGTGTGTGCATAGAGGGAAGCAGAGGATCAAGAAGTGGCTGGCTGGCTGATGGGCGCTCTCTGGACAGCTGGATCTCTAGCTATGTGAAGCTTTTGTTTGGGGGGTGGTTGTGGTTTTTTCTGTGTTTGATTTTTTTTTTCTCCTCCTTTCAATTTTTCTTTACCTTTTTTTGGGAAGCCAACTGAGACTTCAGAAGAGCAGAAGCTATTCCGATGGACAGGCACCAGTTTGTTTAAAGCCTATTCAATATGGACACAGCATATGTGTACTTTTTTTTTTTCCAGATGGGGTGGGGGAAGGATTTTTGTTCATCTTTCCTTTTTTTTCTCTTTTTCTTCCTTTGTGTCTCAGTCCTGCTTTTTCAAACAACAACTCATTAGGAAAGATCCCTTTGTCCAGCCTTTCACCATCAAACCCGTTCAAAGCCAGAAGGACTTTTCCTAAAGGCTGCTTCTGCTGGTGTGGAACAAGGATCCCTCCCTCTCATATCCTTTCCCTTCGTCAGCCAGGAACTGTTCTGGCCTGAGGATGATCCTTCTTGTTGGATAACTAGGAGGAAAAAGGCCCCACGTGTCTTCAGTCCTAAGTGATATCTAAGTAGCCAGCACTAACTTATCCCATGGCAGAGGGTAAAAGATGCAAGAGGCAGAGAATGTGCTGGGTCAGACCTGGAAAAATATGAGAGGGCTCAGTACAGGGTTTGGGGGAGGGTGCCCCCAGTCTCATAGTATTCTTTGGTTTCCAGGAATCCAGACCTCAGGCCACAGCCAGGAATTGGATTCCCCCACCGTTGGATGTTTTATACATACAGTCTGTCTCTTTGTCTATCTTACTCTTACTCTCAGTCTCTCACTTTATAGTGAGCTTCCTGTCTCCAGACTGAGTGGAGCTAAAAGGGGGTTGTAAAAGGATTTTCTTGTGCCCATCTTTATGCTGTATTTCTTCTGCCAGGGGAAGCCAGGAGAGAACCAGTTGTGCCAAATCTTTGCTAGGAAGGCAGCCACATGGTGGTGTTCTTGGGCTAGTCTACCTGGTGCCCCATTTAGAACCAGCAGGAGAGGAGGAGTCCTTTCTTAGAACTGACCCAGTTATAAAGAGTCTGCCAGCAGCATTATCATAGTGGGAACAGACAAGCTGAGGCTAACCCAGCTGGCCTTGCCAACACCTCACTGCCTTGGCTGGGTACGTGCAGCCCTTGGGGCTTGGCTGACAGAAACCTTGCCATGCCTTGTTCCCAGTAGATAGTGGTGAAAGGAAGTCCCTACTAGGGATCCTATCCCAAAGTAGGGGTGTTTTCCATAGGAATGTACTTGCTCTCTACAGAAGGAAAGGCCCTGCTTAACTAGAGAAGCCCATTTGCCAGCTTAGAAAACTTTAGTGTAATCAGCTCATTACCTTCAAAATTGTCAGGTTCTTCACTTTTCTTTGTGTGTCTGTACACTTTCACCCTCACTCTCACTCTTTTTCTCTCCCCACCCAGTGTACTTGCTGTAGGGTAATTTCCCTCTTGCATTTTATCATTTTCTCTCAGTATGATCAAGTGCTGAGGTCAAGTTTTTTGAACATACATCTTTGTGGTTCCTCTCCATCTCAGTAGCAAAAGCATTATACCCAGTTATAGCCAGAGTGGGAAAGGTGACAGATGTTAAAAGAAAAGGTTTTTTTTTTCTTTTTTCCTTCTGCCTAAAGCAGGGAAGATTGACCAGGGATGACAGGGACAAGGAAAAGACATTTTTACTATTTCTGCATCTCCTTTAGTTTGGCAGGTTCCCTCTAGCCAACACACCTAATTTGGGACCCTGTTTTCTGTACCTGTACAATTAAAAAATATCTATTTTCCTAGTTTCCTGCTGAGATTCTTCTAGCCTTCAAATACTGAGATATGTTCCACCCCTGTTGTGGACAGTTAGCTTCAGTCAGCATGATTCAGCGACACCCTGCCCCAAAATTGCAGAGGTCACCTGGGCCAAGACCCCTGCTTGGCATTCCATAAGGCAACTCATTTGTTCTAGGTGTGACTCTTTGTTTCTCTCTCCAACTTCTTAGGTAGACAGCTCCTTAGGTCAGTATCGATACACACTGCTCTTGAAAATCTGATCTGAGAGAATTCTAATTAAGGTGAAGGCTGTTTCTCTTCCCCCAGCCCTCTTTTCCCATGAGGCAGACTTGTCTCTTCATTCATTAGTGAATGGTAGAAAACAGTCCCATATTCAGTGCCACAAATTCCCCCTTGTCTGCACCTCCCTTTCCCCACAACCCCTGCACAGGAATCCCTAATGAGGATTCAGAGGCTAATTTGTTTTATTTAAAGATTGGTTAGAATTTAGGATGATTTTTTTCCTCTCATCATAATCTCCTCTCCCAGTTCTCTTTCAAGGTTCTTGTAGACCTTCCATCTCTCCTGACCTAAACTACTTCTCCTCACCCTTTACTGACTCTCAGAATCTCCCCCTTCCCCCACCCCTTCCTTCCAGGAGGTCACAAAAGCTCCACATCTCAGACATTCTAGTCTACATGTGAGAAAAGTGGGTGTGTCTGGTGTTTGGTGGGCAGCCTGTGACCAAGAGTTTTAAGTCTTCACTCCCTGGCCTCCTAGCATAGGAAACTAGCCTTGCCCTCTTGGCTTTGACCCAAGCATCGGCCCTGGCTTCAGTGAGAGCCATCTAGTCAGTTCTAAGTGCCTGCCCTTCTCCTTGTCTCCCACTATATCCCAGGGCTCTATCCAGAAGCCACATCAAGAAGGTGCCAGGCTGAATGTTATTCTGTGCTCTCCTCTGTCTGTAACCAGAAAGGCAAGTTGTTTAGGGGGCTAATCTAGAGGTTGTTCCAGCAGGTCATAGCATGGCACAATTAAGTAGTTCTTGAAGCAGTTAATGATGTTCATTCCCTTTACCATGCCTCTTCTCTGTTACTTTTCTTCTTTCCCCCATGCCAGTGTCCTATGCCTGATAGTGGCATTGCTCAATTCAGATAACTATGGCCAATCTCATCCTAGTCCAAGAAGTAAAGCCTTTCCAGGATTTCAGGAGCAATAAGTATTCTTGGCTTGGCTGTTTCCTTACTATGTAGCCCTTCCCCTCTCCCCACTAAAAATCCTTTTGGCAAACTGGTAACATTTCATTGCTTTCCCAGAGTCCATAGAATGGACTTCACCCTGTGCAGAATAGAGAATCAGAAAGGGCAGTCCATCCAAAGGCCCAAGCCTGCATCTTCCCTGTGGAAAGCAGATAGGCCTTCCAGGCTAAATCTGTTTCTCTTAAGACCAGAGAATCCCAGGGACAGACCATAGTGCCTTATACTGGAAACTTCAGCCTCACAAAGTATATCACACTTTTGTCTTCCTCTCTCCTTCTCTCTCCCCTGTCTGTTCATCAGCTCTCTTCCTCATCTCCTTCCTATCGGTTTCTGTGGACACTTTTTATTTCTCTGGGCCTTTCCAGGAGCAGACTTTTCTAGTGTTGTTTTCTTAGTTCTCTGAACTGTCAGGAAAAGGCTCTTATCCTGGGCATAAGTAACTGTATGAAATTGTCATGTTTGTGGGAAGACCAGGCTTTTGCCCTGTGACCCACTTCATCTTTTCCCACACCTTCCTGAGGACATTGATTGCTCTCCTAGAGGAACAGGGACATGGGCCTCCATTTGGATTTTGATTTGTAGTAAGAGCTTTTTTTGCAAGTCAGGCCTTACCTGTTCTGTTTCTGCCTCCTCCCCATCATTTCTCTTTGCTGATAGTGCTGCTGGCTGAGGTTCCTCACCTGGGCACATCCCCACTAATGATGTGAGTTGGGAGAATATCGATGCATAGGAATGTGGGATGAGCCCAGTAGTGCAGGCTGCTGTTTAGGAGTCATCAAACCAGGTGGTCAAGCCCCATTTTGTTGGTCCCACTGTCCCTGCCCCATAGATGGAACAAGTGTCTTCCTCTCCACCATACTGGCCTCATGGCCAGAGCTGACTTTGCAAAGGCTCTCCTCAAAGGAGTATGATTGCCAAGAGGTCTAGGAGTGAGTGTATGAAATTGTTTACTTTTGAACTGTCCTGTTTACAGTAGGGAGAGGCCAAACTCGAGGGGCTATGGATTGGGACTTTCAAAGCACAAGGAGTTCAAATCCTTATTGAACACCTAGTATCCTTTGTGATGCAGCCAGCAGTTAGCCCTGGGGTAGGGGTGTTGTATTCCTATCCCTCTCTTTTTCCCATCCAGTTTTCAAAATCCAGAGGTGCTAGGACTAACAGGCCAATAGTCTCCTTCCCAGGTCTTCCTGCCCACTTTGTGTCTCTCCCCTCCCTCCTCCTTTCAGAATCTTCAGATCCTTAACATGTCTCCTTGAACCAGAGTGCTTGGAGCAATAAAGTGTTTTGTTTTGTTTTGTTTTTTAAAATAACTGGAGGAAAGTAATGTCCCTATGGATTCTCTTCCTCAATTCTGTTTTGTTTTACTTTTGAAGTCTCAGTAGGCAGGATATAGTCAGGGTTTAAGCCTGCCTGGTACCAGAAACGGGCACAAACACCACATCTTGCCCCTCCTCCAGGTGAGCAAATCCCCAGGCTGAGGGAGCAGGGAATACTGCTGATTTGTTTTGTGGGCCTCTTACTGCACACTGTCAACTCAGCTCACCAGCCTAGCCTGGGGAATGTGCCTTGCCTACCACTGGCCAAATCTATACACACCCCCAGATCCACGTGTCAAGGCTGGCTGGGGTCTCTTTTGCCATTGCTTACCCAGCTTCCCCTTTCCAGGCCTCTGATCCAAGATCAGACCCCTGATTATACCCTTCCTTTCCCATACTTCTTTATGTTAATGAAGTTCAACCATCTTGCAGATGGGAACCCTGAAAGCCCCAGACTTTGGGCATCTGATTGATGATCAGGATGGGGATAGTGTTAGTAAGGTAAGGTAGACAGATTACTGGCACTTGGAAGCCGCAGCACTGGATTAATGATAATGCCTCTGATCTTGCCATGCCCAGGGATTTGGTTAAAGAATTGACTTCCACCCTATTAACAGCCCCATAGCCTGGTCCCAAGCATGAAGGCATAGCAAGCCTTCCACATACTCACAGGAATAACATTAGCTAAGTTTTCTTGTGCACAGACATCAAAAGCAATACACTTCTTGCTGGCAAGCCCCCACACGTTAAAGTGGTAGAACCTGGCGCCATTGGTTCAGTGTGATAACAATAAGGCTTTTAGCTGATTCCCTTAGAATTCTGACTCCAGAAGAGCCCACCTCTGCTCTCGGTTTTACCTGGTGAATCGATTTTTCTCCCCATTCCTCTGCCCTTCTTCCCCCTCCCCCCCAGCAATTCCATTCAAACACTTAGAGCCCCAGCCAGAAGAGGAGGAGCCCCACCAACCCTCTGTAAAGTTGCCCTAGCGGCAGCTCGGGGCCTGGCATTTCCACAGCACTTTGAACCCCCAGCACCCCTTTCCCAGGCCACAAGAGAGAGGGAGCAAGGTGGCAGGCTTTGTGTAGAAAACTGAAAAAGCAGGTGGCCATGTAGTTAGAGGAGAGCAAGAGGAAAAAGTCATCTTCACCCCTCAAGACTCCTTTCCTAAAGAGCTACTGGTTAGAACCCAATGGCTCCTTCAACACAGTGGACAGGACAGAGGCAGGCAGGTGTGAGGGAAAGGCTTAAACCCAGGCTCAAAGTTAGTTTAAAATACTAGTTAATAAAATCTATTTTTCTGGGTTTTTTTTTGTTTTTGTTTTTGGTTTGTGTTTTGTTTTTTTTTTTTTTTTTTGCACAGAAGCTGGTAATCTAGGACCTACGTGTGAACAACTTTATATAAATATTTTTTGTACTCAGTTTACTTGGGTTGGATTGAAACCTTGTATTTAAGTTCCTCGAACACTGTGGATCCCCTGATGTGTATGAATGGCAGACACTTTGTAAATTAAGAGACGTTTGTGTGAATAAAGCTATTTGATGGGGTTGAAGAAGCCATCTGTGATCTGAACGGGGTACTGCAGCTTGTGAATTTTTGGTGGGAGGGGTAGGCTGGAGGTCATCCCCTCCACTCTGAGCCCTGCACATACCTAGTGGGTACAGCCTTGGAGAAAGAACACCAGCCCCCTGTGAGATCATCAGGCAATCTTATCTTACAGAAGAAGACACTAAAGCCCCAAGACGGGAAATTACTCATTCAGAATCATTTAGCAAGTCAACTTCAAGTATCTCAGCCCTTCTGTATATAGGGCGCTGAATCTTGAGACTTGGGGAGCCAGAGGAACAGGAGGTTGTCAGCCCCTGTCCCAAGACTTCCACCAGAACTCAATATTGGGAGTCTTAAGTTTCAAGGGCTTTTCTGGATGGATGGAAGGTGGATTTGACTAATGGGGAGGGATCTTTTCCTCAGCACAAAGAGGTCAACCATAGTTGTAATCTCTTGAGGACAAAGGAGTACAGTCTTTTGAGCTGTAAGGGCTCTCTCTAAGGTACTATAATCCTACCCCCAAAGTCAAGTGAAATGGTCATACAAGTAGGGCTGGATTTTGAACCTAGAGCCTCTGACTTTATAATGCTGCCTCCTAATCATCTATGTTAAGTGAATGGTTCATTCTGCAGGGACATTGGAAAACGACAGGTTCAGATCCGTAAGAAACTAAAAATTACTCAGATTTACGTATGGCTTCCCGGGTTTTCCAAAAATGATTTCCTCCCAGCAGCTCTGAAGTAGGACCTCAAAACAACGTAGAATGTCAAAGTGGGATAAGACCTCAGTGATAAATCCACTTGAGACCCCTTATTCCCTTTTTGCCTACTGGTGGGTCTCTTGTTCTGAACCTCAGGATGTGGGAAAACTTGGCAAGGTGACATTTGGGCCTTGAAGAATAGGAGATATTTTAATCATCAGAAAAGGTGGGGATGGAGGAGTTCCAGATGGAGATGATAAAGTAGTACAAGGTGTTTGAGGGATTACGGTGAGAGCTTAGAAAGGACCTTAGAAGCCATCTAGTGTAACCCACCCCCACCCCCCACACACACATCTGAGGATGAGCAAAGAGAAGTAATTTGTCCAGGGTTACACTAGTATAAACTGGCAGAGCTGAAATCTAAACTTGGGTGCAAATTTCAAAATGGTGTAAATGGCAACCCCAGCATTCAAATCCATCTCCTCTCACCTTCACATCAGTCTAGATGCAGGGGAGGAGTAGGAGGTGAGACTGGAGAGATAGGTTGAGCTCAGACTTCAGAAGCATCAAATGCCAGGCTTGGGAGCTTAGACTGTATTCAGTCATAGTGCTGAGCCCGCCAGAGGGAATGTTAAGGGGCTAAATCACATATTTGTTATCACCCTTCCGAAGTTGGGGCTGGGGAGAGAAGCTGTCCAGGAGATGCCATGGCTCTAAGTAGAACTGATCGCCCCCAACCCCAGACCTCAGTGAGCCTGTGGTGTGCTTGATGGGTCCCATGACTGTGCTTTAAGGAGATAACAGAGGCAGGCTGGGCCTGAAACAGTTCAACTGAAGCAAAAAAAAAGATTCAAGTCTTTGGAATGTGAGTTTGAGAAAAAGATAAGATTCATCTTGGAGTTCTCCATAATCTGTAGGGAGAGCAGGCCAACTTTGTAGGCATTCCAGTCCTACGATGTGGGAAGCGGGCAGGTGAAGGGTGGGGATCCAGACCCTCAAAATTCTGCTTCAAGAGTTGATGTGACCAAGAAGACTGGCCACCTGGTCAAGTGCTTCATTTTAGGAAACCTAACTAAGGATTATGACAAACTGGACCATCTCCAGAGGAGGGTAAATAGAAGGATGAGAGGACTGGAAGCTATATTTAGCCTGAAGAAGACTTGGGATCTGATGGCTGTTATGGAGAAGAGTAATTATGGGGCTTGTCCTGCTTAGCCTGATAAGAAAAAGGAAACAGTATGTTGACTTTTTCTTTTCTTTTTTCCAAGGGCAGATTTAGGCTCCAAGTAAGTTTTAAAAAAAACCAAAACTCGGTAACAATTAGAATGCAATGTCTAAAAGTGGGCTTCCTCACAAGGTAATAAGTTCTTCATCACAGGAAATCTTTAAGCAAAGGCTGGATGACCAGTTGTTGGGGATGTGGGTTAAGTTAGATGCCTCTGAGGTCCCCGATTGTGATGTCCATCAGGCATTTAGCTGAGTCTCTCAAAGCTCTGGCCCTTTGAGATAACCACCCTGCTCTAGGTGTGGTGATGTGAATCTCTTCTCCCACTCCCCTACCCCACACACACAGTGGCTCATAACTTCCAAAGGAAAGGCTGATGAGTACATGGATCACACCAGCAAGGGGAAGGATGAAGAGTATGGGCAGGGGTCCCACTGCCCTCCCTCAGGCAGATCTAAGGTGGGCAAAAGAACCTTTTTTTCCTTTAAAGGAAGGGCTGACCCAGAAGAAAAATCAAAGACCCTGCACAAGCAAAAAGCAAGTTTTATTTATTTTTAATTGAGAGGAAAATATGTAAATTAAAAAACTGTCTTTCAGGTATTAGATGCACAAGAGTATTTGTTGCTCTTAAATGGGTAGGTGGAGGAGTGGTAAATATACATTTATTCATTCAGCAATTCGTTAGCAAGCACTTATTAAGCCCCTACTACGTGCCAAGCACTGTGCTAAGTCCTTCCCTAATAAGGACATTAAAATGGAGAATAACAAGATGCTTTCCAGCCAAGCCAGGCAAAATCCTTGAAACGATAGAGAAGGGTTTTCTGGAAGGGGTGATAAAAACTTGACTCATTGGAAATGGTACTATTCGACTTCATGTAATGGTTTAAAATAAATCTTTCTGTGTTGTTGTATAGTTTTGCTTTTGTATGTATGTAACAACAACACACTTAAGCTTATATTTAATTTTAAAGTTTGTATAAGTAAATGTTCTGAATGTGTCCTGAATCACGTTTAAATATTGTTGGTTCATATTGACTATGGTGCCAGAGCAATACACACACACACACACACACACACACACACACACACAGTATTAAAAAAAAAATCAACAACAACAAAGAAATGCAAAAACCAGCTCCTCTTTTCAAGTAGCTCCCAGTCTAATGGGGGAGACAATATGCAAACAACGGTGTACAAACAACTTACAGGCAAAATAAATTGAGGATAGTCTAAGAATTTCTGGTTGTGTTTCTGTGCTAGAATACAAAAGCACTTTAGACATGGCCCTTTACTCTTGGAGCTTAAATAACTATAATACAAACGAGCATAAGCACCAGGGAGGTGTAAACAAAGTAGAGGTTTTCTGAAGGGTTGGTAGAATTAATAGCTAGAGGAAGGTTGTGGGGGAAACGATGGAAAAAAGTGAATAGAGCCCTAAGGACAGTGCTGGAAGAATGAGTTTTAGGGTGAAAAATGGGAGGAAGATTAATTAGGAGGCTGTTAAAATAATCCAGGTGATGGGTATGAGGGCCTGGACTAGGTGGGTAGCAGTGAAAGTGCAAAGGGAGGAACTTGGATGCAAAAAAACTAGAAAGTGTGGAGATCTGTCATTTTGGCGTCAGGCTTCCAGTCCTGCTTACCTGGGAGGAAGGTGGTGTCATTAACAGAGACCAAAGGAGATGGTTTGAATGAAAGAAACTTGGAGTTCTTATTATGTGTCAACCACTATGCTAAGCAGTTGGTTTGTTTTCGTTTTTTACAAAAAGAAAATCAGACAGTCCTGCCCTCAATAAGTTTTACGTTCTAATGGAGAAGACCACATATATAGGAGATTTAGGGCCAGGTGGGTATTTTGGTTTGAAATGTTACAGGGACGGTGAATGCAGCCTTAGGGAAGTAGATTGACACACCCTTTCAAGCTGCAGTAGCAGTATTGATTTGATTATAGTACCAGAACTGGAAAGGGGGAGGAGGGAGAGGGAAAGCACTCATCATCAGCACCTTGGGGGCCATTAGCAAAACACAGCATAGGACCTTAGAGATCATTTAATAGCCCATTTTACAGATGTAGAAATTGAAGCCTCCCAAAAGGAAGTGGCTTCTTTACTGTCACAGGAAATTGGTGACAAAGCTAGGATTGGAACCCAGGTCTCCTGCCCCCTAGGCCAGTCCTTTGTTTAGTCATACCCCAGAACAGACTGACTGACCTGTTCTTGACCCTAGACCACAGTAGAAGAACCAATGACCTAGAATCAGGAGATGAGTTCTCCACCAAGCTCTGCCACTCACTAGTTGTATAATTGATGGTCAGTTTCTTCTCCCTCAGGCTCAGTTTCTGTACCTGTAAAGTGGGTATAACAGTATATGACAGTATTCATTTTATTTCTCTCACAGAGTTATTATGAAGAAAATAAGAACTACCATGCCATAGAAACGTGAGCTCCTATTCATTATTTGAATTCGTAGACTCTTCCAGACCTTGCTTCAATCTCACTAGTCCCAATACTGGCCTTATGTCTGCTCAGAGGCCACCTGAAAGGGTTAGACAACGTGTCCTATGGTCTTAGAATGTAGAGCTGGAATGGGCCAGAGAGAGATCATCTAGTCCAACTACCTCATTGTGCAGAGTAGGAAACCGAGAGCTGAAAAAATGAAAAGACTAGCCTGAGGTCACACAGGCAAGTAAAGAGGCAAGACACAAATAAATGTAAGTCCTGGGACTTCAAATCCAGCTCCTGTTCCAGTATACTGTGGGGTGCCATTCTCTCATCCCAGGGAATTGAACTTTATCCATGGCTTCCCACCGGCATACTGCCTATCAAGCTGAATACTGCCTAGATAGGTGTGGGGGCTAGAATGACAGTCACTCCTGGCCTATGACTGTGACTTATTCACCTCCCCTCCCTTAGGGATCCAAGGGGTGGGGAAAGAATCCCCTGGAGAAGTATTGGCCAAAGTCCTGTTGTAAATACAGTGGGCGATGTCGTGGCTTGAGTTTATTGCTTTCCTTTTAAGATGGCAGAATGGAATTACCCCTGAGCTCCCCTCAGGCTCCAGGAATCATTCCCAGGGCTGCCAGCAGGA